CCCCCAACAAAGTGATTTCAGAGAGAGAGATCAAAAGACATGTTGCACTGGGCCAATCTGCTGTGCAAGACCTCTTCCGAGCATCGAAAGCAAAGGCATTGCTTTGAGAACTACAATGCGCCTGACCCAAGCCACGATGTTTTCCGTGGTCTTGCATGCATGTGAGAGTTAGGCACTGCATAACGCAGACAGAGCAGACTCAACGCTTTTGCACTGTGGTGCTGGCGAAGAACCTTGAAAGGACTGCCCAGGGACCAACCAGTCTGTCTTGGAAGTTGTACAGCCAGATGCTCCTTAGTGGCCAAGTCTTCCCTACTGTGGACATGCTGTCAGGAGAGATCAGCCCCTGGAGAAGGACCTCGTGCCTGGTAAAGCAGAGCAGCAGCAGAAAAAGACGAAGGCCCTCACTCGCGGAGCGAGATGGACCCAGTATGGCTGCACAACAGGAGGGGGTCGCTGTGAGTCGGAACCGATTCGATGGCACCCAACAACCGCAACAACGCAGATTAGAAAATGGATTGGGAAGGTGCTCGATGCCTGGCTGCCTGCAGTAGATGGGACCCTGCACGTGTTTCTGGGTCACATCATCACAAGCTGATGCCCTGTGGTCCAGAGCGCAAGGATCTGGACTCTCAGAGAGCTTGGGACCCAGGCCCAGTTCTGCTGCCACTTACTGTGTGTGACCTAGGTCATCTCACAATTCACATAGAAATGATGACATCTTCCAGGGCTGTTAAAAGGAGTCGGTAGAATACTGGCTGTGGGGTGCAAGGGATCCTGGGAAATGCAGCTTCCTGCCCAGCCCTTCCCTGCCCTGACTGTAGGGCTCTTGGGATGAGGGAACAGGTCGTGCCCTTCTGTACGGAGGCAGGCCACACAGCCAAGAGGGAAAATTGTGACTTGTTTCCTCATTGGTCCAACGCCAATGGGGTGCAGTCTAAGGGTTCATGAAAGTGGACTGACAGGTTGGGCCCCCTTAAATACATGCAGCCGTGGTGGGGCGGCGGGGGTGGGGGGGAAGGAGGTGGAAGCCTTGAGCAGGTCTGTGTTGAAAGAGTGTGGTGAACCTTCACTCATTCAGTGAACACCTGCAGAGACGAGGGGGGTGCCTTGGGCAAGCCAAAGGGTCAGGCCTTGTCTTTCTCCCAAAGTGACCCCATCTGGCTAGCAAGGCCTTGGAAGCTAAGTTCACATCCCCCATCTCTCTCACACACACACACTCCCATCCAGGAGGAGCAAGGGAGCTGGTCAAGAAACACAGACTGAGTGCAGACCAGGGCCTGGGCTGGGGCAGAGATCTGTTCTCAGAGCTGATGTTGAACATAGTTCATTCTCCAGCAGCCCTGAGGATGTGACGCTCGGAATGACCTGGAGGAAGGGGCTGGGTGTTCATTCATTCTAGTGGATCAAGGCAAAATGATTCAATAATTCCAAGACTGAAGTAGAGCCAGTGTGGAAGAAGCAGTCTTGTGTCTATAGGCCAGAGGAAGCTGGTCCACGGGCAGCCAGGAGAGGCTCCCTTGAGAAAGAGCCAGCTGGGTACCCCCAAAGGAGTAGGAGTTGAGGATGGGGCCGGAGAAGGAGCTAAAGTTCTCAGACAGCAGAGGCAGCTCATGCAAATGCCCCGAGGCAGGATGTCGACTGAGGTGGGACACCACAGGTGAGGCGAAGGGGACAGTGAAACCAGGATGAGACGGGGAGGCCCCCTTTGGTGCCCTTTTGGACCACGTCAAGCATTCAGTCTTAACCCTCAGAACAAGGTCCTCATTGGAGGTGGAAAGGGGGAAGAGGAGGAAGGCAGACTGCTAGGGGCCCACTGGCAGGTGGTAGACAGGGACACGGATGGCCAAAGCATCTTCCTCCCAGGCCCAGCTGCAGGAGCCAGCAGGAGGGAGTCATAGAGCAAGGTCTGGTGCGCCCGCCCCCGCCCCCCCCTCCCTCCATTGAGCCCTGCACCAGGTGCACGTTGTGTTTGAATGTTAAGAGTTTCTAGTCTGATTTGGGGAGGAGGGGGAGGGGGAGGGGGCAGGGACCCACCGTCAGTGGCAGCCAGATTGGCAGCCGCAGCCCCAGATTCCGGCGGCAGGCCTTGCTGCAGCGCGGTTTCCCGCCGCGCCTTTGTGAACGGCACAAAGCCGTGGACGTGTGCAGGGCCCAGCGCGCAGGCCCGTGGCTCCCTGTGCACAGCCCGCCCCAAGTCCTGTGACCCCAGAGAAGGGAAGAGCTCATTAGGGAAGGTTTTCAGAGCCCCAACTAACAGAGATGAATAAGCTCCTGTGTTTGATCCCAGAAGCCGCCTCATTTACCGGGGAAGCAAAGACAGCCGCGCGCGCATGTAGTGATGGTGGTGGCGGCAGTGGCTGTGGTGCAGGGCCAGGGCCGTGGGGACTCAAATGGGTGGGTTGGCTTAGCAAGGCGGGGCCTGAGCTGTCCCCCTAAAGGGGCGGGGTGGGACTGCGCAGCCAGGTCCCAGCTGAAAGGGACCTGACCACACCATGTCTCTTCCTTGTCTAGGGTCCTGGTGCTGGACAAAGGGGCAATAGCCGAATTTGATTCTCCCGTCAACCTCATTGCCACCAGAGGCATCTTCTATGGGATGGCCAAAGATGCAGGACTTGCCTGACCCCTGGAATTCCCTCCTGGCCACTCCTCAGGTTCACCCAGAAAGGAAATGGTACCAAATATGGATTGGACTGGACGGCTGATTCGGGGCAGGACAGTGCCCCACAGCAGGCCGATCCAATCCCTGTGCTGACTGCTGTTGGTGAGGAAGTGCAGCCCAACAGGTGGAGCGCAGTGCCTGAGGCAGAGCCCGGACTAGTCCCTAGGCCCGATTCCCAAATCTGGTGTTATTTCCACACCGCTCCGCTCACCATCTCTTTACGAAGCTCCCTCCCTCCCTGCTGACTTTTTTTCCCCCTATTCCTTATACAATTTTTAAAAGAAAATTCTTCCTCTTGCCCCTGAAGACTGCCAGTCCAGGCTGTCTTTAAGAACCGAGGCCTGTACTTGGCTGGGGTCCATTGAAAAAGCAGCCCTGGCAGATGGAGATGTACTCACCAGCCTCTACCTGGGCCTGTGCACCAGATTTGGGGGCAGTGCCTTCTTTTGGGGAGTGGGGGTGTTTTTGCATCCATCCACAGGGCTGCTCGTCGGAAAGCTTTGGCCCCCAAATCCTTTGGCTGGAAATGGTGTCTTCACAACCAGAACTGACTAGGCTAGTGACAGTAAGTAGCCCCTGCTCTGTTGTGCAGGTCGTATAAAAACATCGAGAAATAAAGCCCCTTGAGGTCTGACCGGCGGGCTCTTGGGAGAACTGCCGTGAACACCGCATCCCTCCAGCCGGTCTCTCCGGGCGCCAAGGAGTCCCCGGTACTCTATTCCTCATCCCTTCCAAGTCTGTTCCTGATGGGACCCCTAACCACTACAGCCCCCCAGTCGTTCATCTCCCTCTGCCGGCCCGAGCGGAGCGTGCCAGCCTCGAGAAGGCCTGAGGCCGCCACCTGGGAAGGGAGATGTGAGGGGTGAATTCGCTGGGCTCTCAGGCCGCCAACAGAGGGAGGTTCATTTTCTGCAGCTTGGAGTCCAGCTGCCTAAGGCCTCTCTGATGGGGGATCCATGTCTTTCCTCTGTCACCTTGTCATGTTGGGTCTCTACCTTTCATGTCCCTGCCTTTGATTCTTGTTTGCGGCTGGTGTCCCCCCCCTCCCCCCACGAAGACAAGCAGGTGTGGAGCTGGAGCCTTAGATCCGGCCTTTCTGTATGCTCTGGGGCGGCCTGTGCTGCAGGACTATTTGTTAAAGGTTAATCACATTTTTTTTT